TAAACTGAGACAGGGGAGGTTTAGGTTAGATATTAGGAGGAAGTTTTTCACACAGAGGGTGGTGAGGCACTGGAACAGGTTGCCCAAGGAGGCTGTGGATGCCCCATCCCTGGAGGCATTCAAGGCCAGGCTGGAGGTGGCTCTGGGCAGCCTGGGCTGTTGGTTGGCGACTCTGCACATAGCAGGGGGTTGAAACGAGTTGATCATTGTGCTCCTTTTCAACCCAGGCCATTCTATGATTCTGTGATATGATTCTATGAAGTACGATGAAGGAAATGGCAATTATCTGATACTTACTGCCTGGGCTGTTTTTATTGCCACAAATCGATGATTTCCCTCCTTTCCACACACATATCCAAACGCTCGGTGGTCTGTGATATCCTTTGCGATGTACGATATCTCATGAACTGCGTGGTGGTGCTGTAGTAGCTATTAAAAAAGAAGAAAACACAGCAAGAAATACCCATCAAAATGTTCCATTAAATCTGTATCGTTTCCTTCCATCGGTGCTTCACCTGGATCTCAATGCACCTATGGAATTAAAAACAAGCATTCCCTGGTGTCAAAATCAATTAACATCTAAACTATTTCTGCCTATTCCCTTTTCAAAATCTGGCCAAACGTGACTTATTTTTAATAATTTGACAAAAAAAGCGTCAACTGAATATTTTTCTTTGTATCTTCAGGTGAGATATAATTCAATTAACACATATCACTACCTAATTAGAAGGTAAACAGCATTGTAGGTACGGAATCCCTGTTGGTAGGAATAGCAAGAGAGCACAGCAGCTACTTGTAGCTTCCCACAGAGCAACTCTGAGGACAGACTGCAGGATGAGGGGTGAGAGATCCAATCTCTGCAAATCGACAGCAGGGTCGCTTTATCTCTACAGCACTAAGCAGCAGGTGAGGTTTCACTTAAAGCAGTAAAAGAACTCCAAAAAAAGCACAGTAAGCTTGGTGGTGATGGATCGATAGCTGGACCAGACGATCCTAGTGCACTTTTCCAGCCTTAACGATTCTATAATCCTACGAAGTGTGTTTTGGCCAGAAAGCAACACCAGGTACTAGCATCCTTCTCACTCTGATATAATTACCATTTCATTACCAAAGTAACGTTGAAGCAGTTCTACTCAGAATAACGTCCTTGTAAAGTTTCTCTAACCCAACCTATTAGTTTGAATTCCCACCCTCTGATGTATCGCCCTGCTCCCCACTAATCCAGGGATATTTCTGAGAGCAGGCAAAGCCGCAGAGAATTCTTTTGAGGTCCAGATTCCTGCTGGTTTGGAGAAAAGCACATTTTGAGAAGCAGCGTGGTATCCAGGCAATCTCTAAACAACCGGTTATTTTTAGAGTTTAAAGAACACTTTAAAATTCAAAACCAGAGAGGATGTGTGCGTATGGAGGAGAAAGGGCCATGTGCCTGTGAGGCAGTGACAGGTAATGTGGCTCCCGCAGCACAGGCACGGGAATTTCAATGGGAAGGCAGAACCTAAGAGGAAGCTGACTATATATAAAACAGCAGACTGGACGTATGTCACTTTCATTCCTCATTAAATGGCTCCTAACTTCCTGAGATCGAGACTGCTTGTTCTTAGGGAAATGGAAGCTTGACGCTGACTTTGGGCTGAACAGGGCTAAGTTAAAGGTGTGCTCCAGACTTTCACAATGTGTTAAGTGTTCAAAATTAATGATCTTTCTTAGATAACATGCTGGTATTGATTTACTAGGTTCCTCTGAAAGCATGCTTGCATTCTATCTCTTACAATGAAATGAAATGTTCCCATCTCTCTACTCTGCATATGACAAGGGAACGTTATCTCCGGCTCCTATTAAATCTATGTTCTTTGACATTGCTTTATTGATTGTGAGACAGCGTTTTGCACTGAAATTAAACTGTGATCAGATTCCTTCCTCACGGAATTAAATTTGAAGACCATTCTACCACGGCAAAAGATCGCCCACAATGTAAGGCAGCAGATGGAGACGCTCCGATTTATTCGGGAACCCTCGTTAACTATTGGAAAATGGTTACAGTTGTAATGGTTACGATACCTCATATACTGCACAAATTAAGTAAAGGTGACTGCCACATCATCCTGCTTCACTGTACAGAGCAGGCAGAGTTTTCTATTTGTTTGAGGGATACTGGCTTGGAACATACACATAAAACGTAACGTTGCATACACACCTGTACCACAGTGAAGGTACAAGCACTCCTTTGAATCTGTGCTTTCACAGCTTGATTCATGGACTGTGTCCTTTTTACATTTTCCAGCACTTTCTTCCAAATATTATTTTACGAGTGTCTGACTCTTTACTCGTCATTAAGCAGGAATGACACCTGTTGCAGTTGGTACAAACTCACCACTGCAAAACACCAGGTCAGGACTGCATCATTTTTGTAAAGCCCCTCCCACCCCATCTCCTCTGGCTCTTTTGTCTTTAGGGTTTTACCACTTAATCCCGTCTCTAGTGGGTCAAGAGCCTATAAAGGAGCATTTCATAGCTCAGGGATGTTTATGACACCCCCATATGCACACGCTGGTGGAGTCCATCACAAACTATTTGATGTTTTTATGGCACCTTTGCTGAGTGCTGCTATGAGCCATTTAGCACGCCTTCAGTGAGGTATGGGATTGGTGGAGGGCTGCAGTATGGCAGAACACATTACAGAGAAGACTTAATTTGTACCGCGGTTCAATACAGTCAATTAAATATTGCGCAGATTAGAAGGTAATTTAACAATTAAGCTTCAGTTGTTAAATAAATTCACTGTACACAGCTTCCAAATTATTTTAGGTCTCGTGTGACTTTAGTCACTATTGAAAACATTTATGATCTTCAAATGCAAGCACTGACAAAGCCTTGCATTAGCTAACTAAGTCATGTGCTGCAACAGTTGTTCTTTTCAGGCTAAACCTGATGTCTGTACTACATTTTATTCATAGGTTCAGATGCCATTTCTTGCTGTTAAAGAAGGAAGTCTGAAATACTTCCTAGGCAGCAATATGGGCAGCCACCACAGGCACCATCCTTAATGCATCAGCCCCTCGTGCTTGGCCCAGTCCCTGCAGCCCAAGAGTATTTTCTCTCCCCTTTGCCACTCCATTTCCTGCTTCTTGTCCTCTGCCCCCCACCCCTCCCTGCACATCACATGGAATTGATTTAGCTACTTCTGAGATCTGTAGCATTTCTAATTTCCCTCAGGCTGCTTGGCACCTATCATAAATTTTTTCACCCCTTATCCTCATCTTGTCCCTTTATTTCCATGCCATAGCCTCCAGTGCCACTAAATCAATTAAGTCAATCAATTAAGTACTTGGAGGGCCCAGCAATCATGTCAAATATGTGAGTTAGATGGCATGAGAAAGTCACTGCTTGACTATCGCTATTCCTCTTTTAATGAGGTTGTCTATTTAGTGAAGCCTGGGGCACACTGTTAAGAGCCACAACAAAAAATGCCCTGTGAGCTGCAAAGCCTCCTGCACACATTGCCCCACTGAATGCAGGAAGCATGCAGCACGTAATGGTGTGCCCAGAAGGACAAGTTTCACAGGGATCTGAGCTGTAAAGCCTCAACCTTGAAATGCTAAATGAGGAGCCTTAGGATTTCCAGGCTACCAATGCAAGGATGAGGACAGCCATGGTGAAGCATCCTCTGTGTTTGCTCAAAGAAGCTGTGGATACTCCACCCCTGAAGGGGCTTAAGGCCAGGTTGGATGGAGCCCTGGGCAGGCTGATCTGGTGGGAGGCAAACAGCCCAGGAGCTGGATGGTCTTTAAGGTCTATTCCAACCCAAGGCATCCTGTGATTCTGTGATTCCATTCCCATCTACCCACTTCTCAGCCATCTGAATAAACAGCAGTATATTTTGAGCGTCACATCAAGCTCCCCAAACACCAGTTACCCACCAAACTGCAAAATTCATAATAAAATAACTTCACAGACCTTAGTTTTGGTTATGCTGCTGTCTACCTCGCCCAGACTCCAATTCACAAAATGTTTGCTCAGACGTGTTTTAAGAAAACACATCCTATACCTTTAGGAAGACAACTGAACAAACACTAAAACCTGAATCTAACAAGGAAAATTACAGTGATGCCTTAACAAGAAGCTTAGCAAGCTAAAAGTGTAATAGCACATTTACCACGATATACTGCAACACGTTAAGTGAAAACAATGAATTGTAAAACATGCAAGCACTTCTGAGATGAATTTCATCTCACTGCTCCCAGAAAAGTTGGATTTGTATCGACATGCAGTACATTTCACTGGTGTTGTGAGAGTTGCCAAAGCAACAACACAGAGGCAGAACTTGCAGGTTGTTGCCCTTGGTAGCCAAACCCAAGCAGTTAGGGTCTAGCTTCTCCCTTGTGAATTTGTCATTAATGTTCATTTCCCAGTAGGCAGGAGGCTGCTGTAAATCACAGTGCTGCTACTGTGGTCTCTTCTACCTCCACTAGGCAGATGTTTTTTAAGGCTGTTATCCTTCTGTATCATTTTGGCCCGTTTTCCAAAGATGAATCCCAGAATAATATTTGGACAAGAACAACAATCTAAAGGGGCATCGCAGCACACGCTGCAGAAACTTTTGGAGGCTAGAATTTGACTTTGAACGTGACTCAACTCTTCTGCTGAAATACTGAACACATGCAAAGTGCTACACAGACAAACAGGAATGGTCCAGCCCTAAATCCTTTACACAAAGCCACTCATGGAGCTTGGGCTGAACAATAAGTTAGGGACTTTCTGCCTCAAAATACGAGAACAGGAGCTAGAATGGAAAATATAAGCTCTGGTGTGTTCTCTGAGCCTGAATGGATTCGTCATGTGGCAATAAATAGAAATAAGTCTGTCTAATCCCTGTGTTTCTTCTGCACAGATTGATTTTGCAGACAATAACCTAAAGAAAGGCTCTTCCAAGGGCCAACCCTTAACAGGCATTTCAGAGCACAAGCTTTGCAATAAAAACACATGGCATGAAAAGCACACTTTCAGATTATATGCAGTTCAAAGCCTGGTCTGTGTAAAGGTGTGTAAGTTTAATTTCCTCTTAATAATAATAATAAAAATTCTTAAGAGCCATTATCTTCCTGCAGCCAAGGAGACTGCAGCAAAAACAGATTATGTGCCTTGCTCAAACTCACACAGTGCTGTGCAGCTGAATCAGGAAGGACAAAAGTCAGTGAGCACAACTGTATGTCTAAAGATGAGCAAGTCTTCAAGTGAAGTGTGGGCAGAGCTCAGTCTGGCCACTGCAGTTCAGCCCATACAAGAGCAAGAACTTGGTGAAGATACCCGAGGCAACAGCCTGGTTGGTCAGCCACAGGAGGGTGACATAAACGGGTGTTTTGGTCTTCCGTGAAATCTGAACTAATGCTTAACATTTCCTTTGCCTAACAAAGAGTACCCTGCAATTGCCT